GCAGTTAATATTTATTCAGATTTGCCAGTGTACCTGCCACTTTCTTTTCTTTTTATTCCCTTGCAAATCAGATCTTCCATCCAAGATCACTTTCTTTTTTTATTTTTTTTCTTTTCTCCTCAAATGACTTTTAACACAAGATCACTTTCTACTGAAAAATACCTGCAGAATTACATGTAATGAGGGCCTCTGAGCTTTTATTTTTCTAAAATTTATTTTGCCTTTATCCTTAAAAAATATTTTCACTAGGAATAAAGTTCTAGCTTGGCAGTTACTTTCTTTACACATCATTAAGTATATCCAACAACTGTCTTCTGGCTTCCATGAGGGCTCTTGATAAAGCAGCTTGCAGCCTGTCATTTATTTGCATGTAATCTGTTCATTCTGTTTACCTGCTTTAAGTTGGTCTGTGTGTTTGGCATGCTGCATTTTCACTATGGCTTGTCTGGTGTAGATTCTTTCTTCTTTAATTTACCCTACTTGTGATTCACGGAAATTCCTGAATCTCAAGATAAGTGTCTTTCATCAATTCTGGTAAACGTTCAGATATTATCTCATCAAATATTGATTATGCTTCAGTCTCTCTTCTAGGAATTCTGATTGGATATATTTTAGATTTTCTCACTCTATCCTTCAAGTCATTTCTCTTTCATATTTCTTGATTTTTTTTCTTTTGTCAATTAGTGTTACGTTCTGGGTACTTTCTTTTCTCTTTATCTTTCAGTTCACTAATTCTCTCTTCAGAGGTATCTAATCTCCCATGTGGGAGGTCGGCTCATTGCAACCTCCACCTCTCAGGTTCAAGTGATTCTCCTGCCTCAGCCTCCCAAGTAGCTGAGACTATAGGCATGTGCCACCACAGCTGGCTAATTTTGTATTTTTAGTGGAGATGTGGTTTCACCATGTTAGCCAAGCTGGTTTCAAACTCCTGACCTCAGGTGATCCACCTGCCTGGGCCTCCAAAAGTGCTGGCATTACAGGCGTGAGCCACTGTGCCCAGCCCAGTCTTCACTCTTAAATCTAAACGTGCTAAGTTCCTTTTTCTTACACTTCTTTCTCAAGTTTTTAAAAACTATGAACTGCTATTTTTCTAAAGGAACTTTAGAATCATTTCTCAATGTTGAGAATATAATGTCTTTGGAACTGTTTTGAATTATATGAAACCTACAAATTCATTAGAAAGAACTGGCATTTTATAAATCTCAGCCTTCCTATCCAAAATCGGGTTATGTCTATCTCCACTTATTCAGAACATCATTTACACTTTAATGAACTGCTGTAGTTTACTTTATTTGTGACACTACTTGTTAAAATCATTTCCATTATCAATTCAGATATTTTGTTGGAACTGTGAGTTGGATCACATTTTCATAGCTTATTTCTGGTATGTCAGAAAGTTCTTGCTTTTCTAAATTTTGGTTGTATTTATGAATCCTCTTATTAATCATAGTTGATTATATAGTATGCACAGAAAAGTTTTATATACACATATAAATCAGCATTTTTTTCTCTTTCTCTTTGCTCTTTACTATTTTGCTTTTCATTTTATATATCTAAGATATAAATTAAATATATATTTATATTATAATTATATATTTTATATCTTTATCTTAGATATAAATATCTTTATATTTATCTTATATAAAATATCTTTATAAAGATATAGATATAAATATATATTTATATTTAATTTATCTTATATATAAAATTATATATAAATATATATTTAATATATATTTTATATATTATATATTATATATTATATGTAATATATAATTTATGTTTTATATATATAAAGTAGAGAGCAAACTATTAATATTATTGAATATTGTTTTAGAAGTTCTGGCTAGTGTAAGGCTGCAAAGAGAAAAAAATGAAAAATTTATATATAAATTTTTGGATTTATGGTAAATAAACTTATGGTAAATCCATGCAGGTTTAACTAAGAAATATATTAGCTCTTCATATACTGAACATTTTAAACTCACTGTGCCATTTTATATAGTACTTCACACTCCAACTCTCAAAGGAAGCTTAAGAACCCCTGGTCCAACATTCCACATCTAGCAGCATGGGACCAGAAAAATCTAGATATTATAACCAATGATTTGGGAAAAAACTGTTTGAATTTTACACATAAGAATTAAATAGGCTTTTTTTTTGCTTCTAGGAACTGAAGAAAATTGATACAGTGAAAGGAACAAATCTAAGCATAGTAAAAAGGGTGTTGACAATGACGAAGATGTGAAAGTTAAAAGCTTAGAGTCTGTGCTAATAAGACATATAGAGAAAGACTAACCAGGCAAACCACTAGTAGAAAGTTATATCTTTATTAAGTAATGAATTTTGGTGATAAACTTTGTGTGCATAACTTATCTTGCTCATATGCAAATGTATAGGCCCATTGGTATATCTCTGTTTCTAGATCAATGTTTCTTGAAGTACAACCTGTGGATCGCCTAAACAGAATCACCTGGGTGAATATTCCTGTTAAAATGAAGATCCTCAGACCCTTTCACAGGCCAGATGAATCAGAATGTTGGGGGAGGGCTACAAAACTGAAATCTAATGAGGCTCCTTGAGGGGTTCTCATACAAACTAAAATTTAAGAAAAGAGAGCGAGACAGAGAAAATAAAAGGTGGAGAGAGATACAGAGAAAGAAAATCAGAGACAATGAGGAGGGGGATTTTACGCTTGTACGGTGTCACAGAAGGCATTATATATCAAACTCTAAAAGCTGAATGTGGTATTCCCATTAAAATATTATAATTAGGCCAGAGACTTTTCAGAGAAATGAACACAAACATTTTATTAAATCACCTAACAAGTTATTGTTCTACACTGTACAAAGCATTTCAAAGGGGATGAAAACCAAGGTAGGCAACACCTAGCCCATCACATCTAATTATACCAATGAAATACTATCAACCTCTGCTGGGCAAATTTCTGGTCAAATTTCTTTGTAATTCCTACATTATTTTTAACTGCAATAAATCAGAAAGTAGAAATGCACCTTCATTAGTCATGAAATCAAGGAAGACTGAAGGGCATGGTTTTTCTCAGATATCCACGGGGAGAGTTTTGGGTAGACTCTGGACCACCCTATGGCGAAAATGCTGTAGGAATGTCAGCTTGACCTTCACCTGTAAGTCCCCTGGTATAAATATTAGAGGTCAGGTTGTGGATGCTAGGATTATGTCAAACACTTCTCTTTTTTTTAAGCTGCTATCTCATCAGGCCCAGCTGCTTTGACTTTTAACCTGCTTTTAAATGTATCTCTGCTCCTAAAATTCATGAACTATGCCCTTACTCATATTAAGTGATTTGTCCTTTTATTCCCTTGTGGTGGAAAAAAAAAAAAGCCTTAATACATTAGCTTGAATTGTGACCACACTCAAAGGCACAAAAGCTGAGTATGAATTTTTTTAAAGGCTATCCTGTTGGCTGTGAGTCCCATACATTGTCTTGAAATGGCAGGCTGCAATTAAATTCAACTAAATTCCATGAACTCTACTGAGCACCCACTGTAACAACAGGCACTGGCTCTGTGGATATCAAGACAAATGAGACACAGTCCTGGCTGGATCAACAGACTATTCCCTTTTCCTTTTATCTGTCATTCCTAAGAAAACCAGGAAAAGTGTGAGTCAAGGACATTAGATGGTTCCAAGCTCAATACTCAGATGTATGAGAGCTTACACAATTAATGAGCATTGCTTTTCAAAGTATGAATGTTTGTAAGTTGATACCAAAGAAACTATATCTGCTAAAAGAATTTTTGAAGCTGTCCAGAGCCCTTTTCCTGGTGAACAAGGAAATGGCATCATTATTTTATAGCTGTAGGATTCTCTTGTTCCTTCCTTCCTCTCCTTCTTCCTTTTCTTCTCCTGTGCTCAACCCAGTGTGGTTACCCCCTTCTCTGTGACCCAGCCATAAGTCTAAAGCTCAAGGGCCCCAAGCAATGGCTGTGCAGACATCAACTTTGAAAGAGTGCTCTGAACTAAGCATGGTGCTTAGGGGAGATGTGGACAACAGCTGTGTGTGGACCACATCAGGAGGGCAGGTTGGCTAAACGTTTATCGACAAGCTTTCATTTGTGCAGAGCCCACCTGCTATTTGGTGCTAGCAATACGCAAAACTGACTGAATGTGATTCATGTGACTATCCTGACAAACTGCAGCCACCTGAGGGCCACCTAAGCGCCCGCACCATGTGTGCACAACAGCCGCCATCAAGATGCTCTAAAGGGCTTGTAAAAAAAAAAGGTTCCTCTTCAAAGACTTTCTTCCCCATTTAATTAGGAATAAATAGTAACTTCTCTTAGAAGCAAAATGTATTCAAAGACCTGTGCTAACATTCTTAAATATCTGCTAGCCGTGATAAAGAAATCAATGTACTTTATGTTCTTAGCTCCCACAGTTTAGCCTAAATATTTGCCCTGGAGGCTTATACTGGTCCAAGCAAGCATTACGTTATAGCCTGTTCCTCTTCCTTATTTGGAGGTGTTTTTACCTTTCTCAGCATTCCACAAGTTACTACCTCCTTCCTTTGTTCTCCTCTGCCTTTGCCTCTTTTAAAAAGTTCTAAGTTGCTAGCCAGTCGGGACAAATACAGAATATGCGGTCCCATTCCAGCCAATGGAAACCGGACACAGCAGTAGGGTGGACACATCCGGTTATAAATGATCCTGTCTCCTTTGTTTGGTGTACTCTCGTGGCAAAACTGCTGGCGAGTGTACCCTTTCTGCAGAAACTATAAAAATGGCCTTGCTGAGTAGATTAAATTTATGTTCAAGTGTTATTTCTTTACGGCACTGGAGAACAAGCATTTCAAACTGGGCTGCACCTGGCAGGCAGCTCAACAGCCCAGTGTGCCAGTTACCAAGCGAGGTGTCTCTTTCTGTCCTAGTCCTTCTCCTGTCCACCTGCCTAGAGCTCCACTGATCTCTGCTGAAAGGTGAGGCCCTCCTATACTACGTTACACAATGCAAATGTCTCACCACTGAATCTTTCATCTTCTTGGGGAGAGGGTCAGCAGCTGACTCTTCCAGATTTTGATGTAAAAATTTAGGCAACAGTCTGCATTGGATGAAGGACCTGAAAGTGGAAACACACATGGGTTTTACTTTATCAAAGATGTTCCTGGGACAGTGTTTTTGGTAAATAACTTCACCTTAGATCTCACACCCACACATGACAAAAACAAGTGCTCTCTTCGTTTAAAAATTTATAATAAAAAGAGGGACATGTTCAAGTGATCATAAAGATAGTGTTTTGATTTGTAAATTTCATCCTAATGAGAGCAGTCAAGTATCTTAGCAGTATCATTGCCCTCTGCTGTCAGCAGTGGGACACGGGGAAGGTCCTCCATCTCTGCCAGCCCACTAGGCCTTCATCTTCACAATTAGCAGCAGAAAGTGAACATTGCACTAATACAATTGACACTAAAAATTGTGTGAACCATGTTTAACTTTTCTTTCCCCCATTTTTCATGCCTTTCATACTATTGAACCTAATAGCCTAAAATTATGGTGTCTATGGTCCTCAAAGAGTTATGGTTATCTTCAGTTAAAATCTTTCATAAATTTAAACAAATTACATAAGATGCTACTGTCAATATCTGAAACCCACTGTGGCATCACATGAAAGATGTCCAGTGCCAGAGTACACGTTACCAAAGACTTAAAGATAATGATTAAAGGGAAGATTGTAATGTACACTTTCACATTACTAAGGATTACATTAAATACATGTTAACACTTTGGTGCAAATCTCACTTTAAATCCCGAAGGCGTTAGCCAGATTGAGAACAACAACAACAACAACAACAAAACAATAATATCAAACAAAATCTTTCCTTTCAGAGGTGCTGGTTTAGTCTCCCCAGGGTAACTGCCTAGACTAAAGGCAGGGATGCAGCTTCATGGATCTAGAGAGGGTATTGTTGAGGTGGTAGCTTCTCATCCAACTCACCCAAGGGAGTCACAACAGGGCTTGGGTGTTATCGGCCTTCTGTTCCTGCCACTGTGCATTTTACTCCAAAATCAAAAGAGCAAAGCTAAAATGTTTGCTAGATGTTCACTTTTAATTGTTATTAGTTTCTGGCTAGTCCTGTATTTCTCCTCCCCTCCTCTAGTGAGTGACCAGCTAGTTTAATAATGAGAATCAAATCACAATGGGTAGTGAATTGCTGTCTCCCCACCTCAGTCGCAGCGCAAAGCTGCAAGAACCATGCCCCCAGCTCAGTGATGAGAGAGCGCAGGCATAGACCACTCACATGAGTACAGATGGGTCACTGCTCTGCCGGCTCAGATGGTAGGAAAGGGCGACCAAGAGGCCACAGAAGGCTGAAAACAGGGCCGGGATGTGCTGCGTGCTCCACGGTTCCTAAAGAAAATATGTCAGTTAGCCAAGTCCCTCCACGGCTGCATGGATAGCAGGATCTCTATCAAACATTTAGAAACATCCCCAAGTTCCAGCTGGATGGACGAGTTATTCCTGTGACCATTCCTGCCCGTGGGCATATAAGCATCTGGTGGGCACACAAAAAAACTCACCTATTGGTTTATAAACATTGAGTTTGATAAGGGACTTTTTGACTAATAGTACACACTTATATGAATAAAACTGAATCTTTCCTGAAATTAAGCTTATAATTTTTTATAGAATGTAATATTAAACATGTGTCACTCCTCCGAATTCAATATAATTAATAACAATTATAATAATTGCATTTCTCAGTGTTTATGAATTGATGGTCTAAATGGCATAAGAAGTGTAAAAATGACATAAGAGATTAAATAGACTAACGAACTGAAAACTTGATAAAGATTGTAGAAAGTAGAAAAGTTCCTCTTCAAAGCTCATCTTGGTTTAAAAATAAAATAATACACACTAGGAATAATAGCTTCTTACTCTAAAGCCTCCTATCAACTATCAGTTTTTATACTTTAGCCCAGTTAGTTGCTTTGGTTTACTCAGGCATGTCTGGACAGGCCCAGGCAAGTCTTAGCTCATAGCTTATGCCGCTTCCCTGTTTGGAAATGTTATTGCTTCCTTAAACCTTTCGTGAGCAACTTCCTCTTCTTCTTTGTTCTCCCTTGCACTTACCTATTTAGGAAAGTGTTAAGCTATTAGCAAATAGGGTACCAGTTTAAGACTGTGAGGTTCAACTCCAGCCAATGGATGCTGGACACAGCAGTAAGGACGACCCAAATGTGTAAGGGATAAATATGTCTGCTTTTCCTTTGTTCAAGTGTGCTCTTGCCATTGTTCCATCTGTGTGGGGCACCCTTTCTGCAGAAAGCAAAAATGGCCTTGCTGAGATAATTAAATTTACGTTTGAGTGCTATTTCTTTGTGGCACCAGGGAACAAGCATTTCTAACAAAGATTAAAGATAGTCACCTGAGGAAAGAGCAAAGTTATTTGAAATGAAAAGAGACAGGCACTTCAGGTTTGATTTGATAGAAGCATAGATGTCAGTTATCAACACATTGTACTCAGCCTGGCAGAGCAGAACATGGGAAATACATGTTACCACCCCAAGCAGTGTGGTGGCCTGGGACTCTGGCTCTCCTTCCATACACACCTGCTGCTCCCACCAACACAAACATGTCTCTCACACACCAAGAAGAAAACATCTACATATTTAACCTTCTCAGTCACCATCAGTGGAATCACTGATGCCTTCCGAAAGCTGAATTTAGTCAAGAACTTAAATACTTTTCTCTCAAGATTTTTTTTAAGGATGGGTTAATTGTGCTTACAATGAAATCTACAAATGAATGAGTCAAGTGTGCTTAGCAGTTATCCTCTGTAACTGCTAAAATAGGCTGGAAAAGCAAATGATACAGTGGATAGAGCAAGTGATTTTATTTTTGCATGCTTCATTTTCCTAGAAATTAAAATGTATTTATTTTATCTTCCCCATTGTGGAAGTCTAAACACCCTAAAGCAGTACCTGGAAAGCAAATTGCAGGGAGCTGACTCTCGCTGAGGGTGTTGAGCTGCATGGCTACAAAGTCAGGAAGTAAGACTCACTGCCTCCAGATGCACTCCCCACACAGCTCCCCACACCGGGACGCCCTGCATGCCTTTCAGATCAGCTTCCCAGAGGGTCGGGTGCAGTGCCTTTTCCAGCGCCCTAAGGTACCATGTCTGCATTCATTATTTCCCACCAATGTTGCTGAAAAGCTCAAACCCAGTTTTGAGGCATTCTGCATGGACCTCTTCTTTCTTTGGAGTTTCATCAGCAACGCCTTCCCTTCCAGTGTCGAAGGGAGAGGTGTACTTCCTCCTTCCTGAGCCCAACCCTCCTCTCACACTAGGATGTCCTACTCTCTTTTCATTGGTCCCCTCTGCCCTACCTATAAAAATGCTTAAGTTGTTGACAACTTTTTTTTTTTTTTTTTTTTTTGAGACAAGGTCACTCTCTATCACCCAGGCTAGAGTGCAGTCATGCAATCTCGGCTGACTGCAACCCCTACCTGCCGGGTTCAAGCACCTCAGCTTCCCTAGTAGCTGGGATTACAGGCGCACACCACCACACCCAGCTAATTTTTTATTATAGTAAAGACGGGGTTTCACCATGTTGGTCGGGCTGGTCTCGAACTCCTGACCTCAGGTGTTCTGCCTGCCTCTGCCTCGCAAAGTGTTGGGATTACAGGTGTGAGCCACCACACCCAGCCAGTTGCGGACATCTTTAACAAATAAAAAAAGTCCTTCTTCCCCTTGATCCAGTTGGCCTTGAAAGCTACTGTACTCTCTTAGTCTGATTGGGCTGATATAACAAAATATCATAGACTAGGTGGCTTATAAACCACAGAAATGTACTTCTCACAGTTCTGGGGGCTGAAAGCCCAAGGTGCAGGAAGGAGGTTTGCTGTCTAAGGAGGCCCTGCTTCCTGATTCCTAAATGATGCCTTTTTGTTGTATTCTCACATGGTACAAGATACAAGAGAGCACTCTAGGGCCTCTTTTACAAGGACACTAATCTGATTCATGAAGAATCAGATCAATATTCTTCTGATTCTGAAGAATCATGATTTGATTGATTCATGATTCAGAATCATGAATCATGAATCAATCAGATCATGAAGAATCCCTCAATACCTGTAATTACCTCACAAAGCCCTCACCTCCAATACCATTACATTGGGGATTAAGTTTCAACACGAATTTTGAGGGACACATTCAGTCTATGGCATACACTATCCCTCATTTTTCTTTCAGTGCCATCCCAGCTTTTTGAAGGTCTGAGCTCCACATTTCACTCCTGGTCATCAGTGAATGACTCAGTAGTCTCTGTCAAGCTGGGTACCTCCCATGAGTGGAGGTCCTACCATGAGCTGTGTGACCTTGGCTAAATTACTAGACATCTCTGACCACTGAGTTCCTCTTCTTTAACAAGAAAAACAATACCTACTCAATGGTTGTTGTGAGGGTGCGTTTCTGTAACGCAGGTGATTTGTTTTAAGTTTTTGACATGGGAGGGGTCAAGGCACCCCCACTTGATGAAGGACACCTGAGAGCTGTTTCATTCCCACCGTCTTCACAGTCTCCTGATCCTTGTGTGCCATCAATATACCTTTTCAATGCCACTCTAATCTGCCTCTTCTTTCCATTGCATCCTGTCTGGTTAAGGCCTCCACTGTCTTGCTCCAGGACTACCATTAATGCTTCCTAATGGGGACTCACCCTTCAGTGTCCACACTCAACCCCACCCCACAAATCCCACGCTGTCCTTTGTATAGTGACAGAGTGGTTCTCCTCCCCAAAACCCTAATCGGATCATGTCTGTGCCCTTTACTCAGTACCTTTCAATGATTCCTCATTACCTACCAAATGAAATCTACTCCACAGGCAGCTGCATAAGCCCACCTTTCAGCATCCTTCCTCACATTTAGGATATACACAGCAGCAAACCTGAGAGATAAATTGTTCCCTGCCCTCCTGCCTTTGCCCACATGGTTCCATCTGCACAGAGGGCTCTTCTGCCCTGACTCCGTTCCGTTCTGTTCCATTCCATTCCATTCCATTCCATTCCATTCCATTCCATCCATTCCATTCCCCTCTACCTGGTGAACTCCTACCCATGCTTCAGTGCCCAGCATAAGAAGTTCCACCTGCTCAGTGCTGCCTCCTCTGACTTCCCAGGCAGAACGGAATCCTCCTCCTCTGTGCATCAAAATCATCTTTAAGCATCCCTAGGGTAGCATTTAAGATATCTCCTTTGTTTTTCAGGGGCATAGCTGGACTCTGCCCCTCATCAGAGAGCACCTGCCCACAGGAGTTGTGCATACACATCTGCTAAGTCACAAGGACAGAGTAGATCTTCAGCATGTTTCACTGAACTAATAGTGCAAACACTTTTACTATGTTCTTTTATTATGTTTGGTATGAAGACGACCTGCAATAAGACTTGTTAGCTCAAACTCAAAGGCAGCTGGCAACTTTATCCATGTTAGAAAAGACATTCTGGTGCAACCTGATGGCACAATCCCCTTCAAGATGCTACTGGCATCACCATCCCTGAAGCAGCATCTCATATGTGTGCCTGTCCCCCCGACACCTTAGGCACCTCTCACTCAGTCCCACTGTTTACTTGTCTGCCTTCCCATTAGACACTGGACCCCCCAACAAAGGGCAGCCTTGCATGTTTCTTTCCCCGGTACCTGGCACAAATGTTAGCACACTGGCATATCCTTGTGAGGATGACTACAAGGTTTAGGCTTTCATAATGACTCACGTGGACAAGAATTTTCAGCAGAAAAGAAGATGAAGGAATTGAGTAGCTTATATCAAATGTCGATCAGGCAGTGAAATGCTGTGGAAGTGATGTGATTATCAGAGAAAAGGCAATCTCTTGACAATGTGCTTCTCATTATTCCTTCAAACAGTACCCCCAGCAACAGGAAAGTTACTCTGAAACTTGAGTTTTATGCTTTCAAAAGAGTCCACGCATCAAACATTCATTCATTCCTACAATGTGCCGAGTACCCAGAAGCATAACTGTGAACAGGACAGAGAGAGTCTTGGAAAGAAAAGACACATGGGTAACTGCAGTCAAGTATGACAGATGAGGGGACAATGAGCTGCTCACAGAGCACACGAGGGGCTGCAGAGCAGGAAGCAGAGGCTCACATGAGTCAAGGGAATGGCATTTAAGTGGATCCCTGCACACAAGAAATGCAGAACATGGTCCTTCCACTGCAGGGGCTTCTGGAAGGGCCAAGCAGGGCGGATAAGGCTGGCTCTTCCATCCTCACATCGACTCCACCCTGCTCTGTCCATCCACCTAGGGCTTCTCTTATTTCATTTCATACTTGACCATTACACAATAAACACAAAACGTGTTCCAAAGGAGAAGAACCTGCTAACTTCTGTT